AAGATGAAGACAATAGTCTGAATTTAAATAATGCAAATAACCATTCTCATGCTTATTAAAATTTGACCTTTTAGTAGTTTCAAAGAATGTAACTATAACTGAAATACTTATTATACTTAGTCTTTATGGAACAAGATCAAAATAGGAAACTCAGATAACCATTAACAAATAAGTTGAATGAATCTCACTGATTTTTTTTTTTTTTACTATAATTTACTATAATTTACTATAATTTACTATTTAAACACAGAATTGTTTGATTACTCTGCAGCATTATTCTGAGTCTTTAGCAGTGAATAAATGAGTTACAATGATGTGGATAAAAGCAATGATTGTCCTGGAATAGGCCATATTTTGCCAATATAACATCATATAAAAATATCCTATTTCCAATTGCTTAAGGAGATGAATATTTATCAAATTAATATTTTTTTTAAATATGTCTAACCCCTGTTAAATATTTAGCACTGGGTGAAACAGATTTTTGTTGCAACTGCTCAAGTAATTGACTCGCATACTGACTCACTCACTCTTTTCTCCATGATAGACTCAAGATATCAGGTGATGAGATTGGTTGCAAAGAGTGACAGCGTGTACATATGAACAGTTCCCATGGGTATTTTTTTTTTTTTTACCACAGCTCATCTTTACAAAATTGTTCCAACAATAATCAATTTTTATCAAAACTTTGTTAGACAGGATGTTTTAAATCATTGTATGTAGTTTGTTCAGATGAATTTCCTTATCTTTGCAAGAGATAATTTCAACAAAGTAGAGCTGCAAAACTCATGTGTGATATATGTGAGAGCAAAGCTGGAGGATACACATTATAGAAAAAACAGAGGGAAGCATGAAAATGACTGAAGCTGAGATGCCAGGTTTAGGACTGATTACATTACAGATCCTTTTTTGATTTTGACCTGATGACAGCAATATTATTTCATTATTAAAAAATTTTTTTTTTTTTTTTTTTTTTTTTTTTGCTTATTTTATTGGTTTATATTTTCAGGGCACATTAAGTGACATTGTTGATAGAAAAATTGAGAACTTATTACGTGATTGGCACCAAAGCCCGGATATGTTATTTAGTATTCATCCTCAAGATGGCAGTTTCCTTGTTTGGTAAGTTATTCAAACATTTATTCACAATGCTATAAAAAAATCAACTAATTATTAGATTTTAACAAAACTTTTCCTTACATTGATTAATTGATGGATTTGTTTTCTATGGCTTATCTACACTTGACAGGAAAGCCAGAAAATATTATTAGATTGTAAGAATTTGTGTGGGGGTAGGTGAGGGAGATAATAATGATTTAGTGATACAAGTCTTACTAATTAACGCATAGCTGGGGAGAGAAAAGGTGGATTCATACCTTTCCCAAAAGTATTTGTGCATAAGTGAATATAACAAACCCAACTGGAATTGGGATTTGACTTTCTAATTAACAATTCTGAGTTATTATCCATTACACTACCTACACATCCAAGCTTGCAACACCTGGTATTCCTCAGTAGTTACCAGTCTAGGTACTGACCAGGGTTGACATTGCTTAACTTTGGTGACTGTACAGGAGCCTTTTCCTTACAATATCAATAAGTCTGTATTTCTTCATTCTTTCTAGTTACCTACTTATTTTTGTTTTGCAGTGCAGTAAACTTGATAAAGGACTAACAATATGTCATAAAGAAGTTCAGAAAGCCTTAGCTTGATTAATGTCAATGTAAAGATGTATCAATAATAAAGTACAGAGTTTGCATTATTGTCATTTTTTTTGTCTAACCTTTACTGATTTGGAAAGCAGTTAATCACAATTTGAAATTCTTCCTGGCAGACCTTTTTTTAAATTGCTATTTCTATTTACATTATTTTAATTTTAACTATTGTCCTCATCTTTGTTGTTATTATCATAAAATGTCAACCATCTTACCCTCTGTCCTTTATCAGGTGCTTGTCAATCTTGGTAACTTTCAAGGAATTTTGAACTGAACCCTTCATTTAATCTATGAGTTAGATTGTTCTTTGTCTGCTAAACATGCTTAGGGATATCTCTAGTTTTTCTATAGTATTGCTCAGTTATTGCTTGTCCTTTTCTATTGAGTGAAAATCTGCACTATTCAGCCCAGGGATTGAATTCACAATTGCTATGTCATCAAATTCATGAACCAATGCTTTAATCCACTAGACCAACAATAAATAGCAAATGAGGAAAAAAATATGTTTTTAATACTATATTAAAGTAAAAACATTAAAAACATCACCTGCTAACAAAGCCCTGGACAGCTAAGATTTAGCAATGAGAGCAGTTAACAAAGGCTTTCCCCACTGAGTATGAGCCAACCAAATGGCTACTCTGGTACACATTACTTATAGGTTTAATCAAGCTGAAGGGAGGAACATATCACACAGTACATGAGTCCTTGCTTAGCCACAGGTCAGTCAGAGTACCTCTGCTAACCAATGTTCATCATCAAAAATGTCTTCTTCAGGTATACAAGTTTCAGAACTCAACCTTGTCTCAATGGAAGAAGTTTGCCTGGTATAATGAGCTTCACTTTCTCCAGAATATGATGAATAGTAGGGTATGTGTGTCTTTATCATAGGGAAGTGATTTGGAAAAATCTGCTACTTGAGCACCTGTTTGGTCCCAAGTTTGCCAAGTTAGTGAGGTTCAACTAGAATGTGACTGCTTCAGTCATGAGGCAGGTCTTTTAAAACTGTAGGTTGGAAGTAGCAATTGTGTTAAATAAAGTTTGTCACAATTTGAAATTCTTCTTTCCTGCTGACCAATCATTTTTTCTGAGTTGCTATTTTGCATTTGCATCTTTCAAAGGCAAAATAGCAACTCAGAAAAAATGCCTTTTTAATGTCATATTTAAGTGAAACAAATACCATTTATTTACATATTTGGATTTTTTTTTATATGTTGTGTATTTGCTTTCTTTTGAACTTATAGTTTTCAGCAAGAATAATGAGTTCAATAGGTGTTAGTTGTATGAATATAGGGCACAGGTGCTGCTCATTGTTGAACTCCACCCACAAAAAGCCAGATCTACAGGAACCAACTATTTATTCCTTTTGAATGCCTACTAAAATGGACACCAATTATTTGATCATTGATGCCTTATGCTTTGATAAGATTACACTTTCAGGTGTGTTATAGTGGAACACACCTAACCTATTCTATTGTTAATAGACTCTACCACCTATAATAAGTAGGAGTAGTAGCAGTTGCTCAGGGAGTTGGTCAGTCAGTCGATGTCGGATGACCGTTAGTCGGATATTAAAGTACCAGCCACCACAACTAGATTACTGCGTTATTACCTATTATATCAAGTTTCTAACGTTTTGTACGTCGAACTACTTTAGGACCAACTTAGTGAAATACAAGCCTCCACTGTGAAACTACTCTACAACAAGGTGAATGGCCAAAACTGCTAACGGCTTGTATCATTATATAATTAACCTATTACAGAACAATTATTGATACAGCTGTTTATACAGTGTCAGATTTTATTATGCAAGTCAATTTTATTTTTATAATAAAATTACTATTCATTCAAAAAAACTGCAAATGAATGTATTGAAAAAGCTATTATATCAATGTGCAACTCACTCCTAGTGGCTATATTATATCTTGCTTAGACTACTTGCTGTGACATCATTAAAATTCTTCCTGACTGACACCAACTGACTTCTATTGACTCACTTTGAATTCTTTATTTAAGGTGTCTTGCCTAGTTCATTTTTGTTACAACATACAGAGTGAATGTCACTGTAAAAAAAATAATATGAGCAATATATTGTGTGAATATTAACATATAATATCTATCCTTATTAATAATATTGATAATAATTTGTTTTGTGAATGTCAAGTTTTATTATGCAAATGAAAGGCACCATAAATTTTATTTAGAGTTAAATCTAAACAATATAGACCATAGGAACATATATTTGATTCACACAATATCCTATATACCTTAATAAATTATTATTTTATATTTTAAAGGTTCATATGAGCTCCTTAATATTCTATAATTTTCATCAGTTTTTCATTCATTGATTTTGTTAACTTTTCTACTGTTTTGACTTTAGCATTACTTGCAGTAATTTTTATTGCTTCCCAGTAGATTTTTTTGGTTTCAATATTTTTTATTCCCCTGATATAGTTCATTTAATGATGGACTTAAAGAATTCTATTGAATTTACATCTGAAGGGGTAGGAGGTTATTCCATTAATTTCATATCTTTTAAATCTTCTTTGACAAGGTGGACAGAAGTTGCACATTGATATAATAGCTGTTTCAATACATTCGAATACAGTCTTTTTGAATTAAGTTAAAACTAAACATTCCTGATGTCATATAATGACAAATGCAGAACAAATTTTTGACCAACCTAATAAAAAAGACAGAACAAATTGCATTGATCAGAAACAGTTCAACTCAAAACCTTTCCACAAGTTGTATATTTCACATAAACTGCTCTTGTATCTGACATCATTGACTGGAGACTGTATGATAAATCTAAGTTATTACAGTTATTTTAATATGAGGTTCTCTCAATCTTATGATTACTTCTCCATTTCATGCTCAAACTTTATACATTCTTTGGCTGCTAAAGCAAACAACACAAAATGAAAAATGAAGGAGTTTCATACAAGACAAAACTCACATTTCACATCTTAAAGAGCTTCTCTTTCATGGATGTTACCCTAACTATTTGGACAATGAAAGTTTTAATGATTAACCAGAGCACAAGTCTTTATTCATTCTGCCACCACTTTAAACTTTGATTCACAATGCACTTTGATTTTGTTTGTTCCTACTGATTCTTTTTGGGGGCTTAGATTTTTAACCGAACCAATGATACTGCTATGATTTCATTAACAAGTAATCTTTTACAAATTTAACATACTAGTTTGACCCTCAAGTTAGAATGCTTTACAGAGCCAAAAGTTTACAAGTGACCTTCTGTTTACCCATAACTAAACACAGCTTGTAGCCACATCACATTGAAACAACCATTCCTGTATAATCACTGAAGTTAAGCAACATTGAGCCTGGTCAGTACCTAGATAGGTGATTGCTTGAGAATACCAGGTGCTGTAAGCAGGGATATTCAGGTAGTGTAATAGATAATGGCTTGAATTGTTAGTCAGAAATTCAAGTTCTTATTCCCATTGGGTTTGATATATTCACTTACAAATAAATACCCTTGGGAAAGGTATGAATCTGTCTGTTCTCTACCGAAATAAGGGTTAATTAGTAAGACTTGTATCACTAAAACCATAATTATCTCAAAATAATTCTTACAATGTAAAAATATTTTCTAGTTTTAAATAACCTGTAAAGGGTCAATAAGCCATAGAAAATGAATAAATCGATCAATCAATAACTGAAGACAGAATATTGATATTGCAAAACAAATGCAAAATTTACCTGGAAGAGATTGAACTTAGTTTGCTGATTTAATTCTCTCAAATTCTAGGAGGCATGATGGAGTAATGGATAGCAGCTCAGATTGAGGAATCTGAGAGCTGAGTTCAAACTCCAGTTGAATCCATTACATTTACACGCTAAGACCCTTGGCAAAAGTATGAATCCTCTTCTGCTTCACCCAGCTATGGGTAAATAGCAGGACAAACTGGGTTCTATAGCCTTGGGTGGTAACCAGTCTAGGAGAAAGTAACTCTGAATTCAAAACAGTATATAGCCCTTGCATAGAACACATTATACGGCTAAAAAAAAGGATTGTTCTCATTGACTCGATGATCCCGACTGTGGTCAAATGATGATGAATTCTCTTGTGCTGTTAACCATAACATCACCTTCATCTCTATACAGTCTAATAATAGTTGTCTTTTTTTTTTTTTTTTATACTGAAGTGTTTTTCCTTATTAATTCTAGTTAACTTCTTAACCATAAGTTGATAATTACAAGTGTCTGGTCTCCTCAAGTTCATGACTATATAAAGAAATATTTTTTTTTCTCTCTTACAGGCTGGTTGATTGGTTGGATGAATACACGGCCTTCTGTTTCCGCCAAGCACAAGTCAGCTTCTCTTGTCGCATTCCCCATGCTGTCCCGATCCTTGATGCTAGAACAATGTCCAGCAACCTTCTGCTCTATTGCAAATACAGTAAAATGGACATCAAGTCTGCAATGAAACTCAGTGAAAGTGACCACAACTTAGAAAATGGCCAGAGATCAACGCTGCTGGAATCGGCAGCACCAATGGGCAAAAGTTCTCCTGGACAAAGTGACAACATGCTAATCCCAAATGTATTAATGATCTCAAAGCACTTAAATGGCAGTCTCAACCTATGGCAAATTAGCTTTGCCGAAACCTCCAAATTCTCTACTGTGATGAGCGTGGCCCACATATCCAGGGCGTGTGGCCACCGGTTCCGTACCAACTCTGCGTCATGCCACCCTGTCTTGCCGCTTTTATTGACAACATCCCACCACAACATTCCAGAAGCTGACTCCCCAGATGGCACTGACACTAATGACAAGACAAAGAACTGTGATGAAGAGAATGCTACCAATAAAGGCAACCCTGGTGGTTTTGAATTCTGCAGTGAACTTATCCTGTGGAAGGTTGATCCAGTCGGCCCTTTGTCCAAGTCTGGTGGGATTGTGGAATTGGCACGGATCAATTCCCCAGAGATCTCTGCATTTTCTAATGTTTCCTGGATTCCAACACTGTTGCCCAGGTGAGTTCTTTTACTGAAGAAAAACTCTGAAGTTCACAGAACAATAAAATATGAAAAGCAACAAGAAGCAAAACAAAAATTTATTACTAGTGACAAACATTACTCATGACAATAACAAAATAACTATTCAATTCAACTATTTTGTTACTTCTTTCTTTCTTTCTGTGTGCCATGTCCTTTCAGGACGTAGGCGATCATGGCTCTCCACCTCCCTCTATTCCTGGCAGCTCTCAACAAGTTCCTTCCCTCTGCCACATCCCCCAGACCACATTCTGTCATCTACTTGCGTAAGGCCACTAGGTATGTCATGCGTTGTTTTCCCTTGTTTCTCTTTCCCTCTATTTGACCTGTGAGTATCAGATTCTCCAGGCCCTCCTTCCTCATTATGTGTCCCAGGAACTTCAGCCGCCTCTTTCTGATGTTAAGTATAAGCCTCCTCCTTGTTTGCATCCTCTCTAAGACCTCATTGTTGCTCACATGCTCAGTCCATGATATTCTTAGCATCCTTCTGTAGAACCATATCTCTTTCACCTCAAGTCTCTTTTTCATCTTTGAGGAAATCGTTCAATATTCACTGCTGTAAAGAAGGACAGATGTCATATAACAGCTTAATATTCTTTTCTTCGTTACCAAAGAAATCCTCCTGTCTTGCAATACTCTGCCCAACATTTGGAATGCTCCTTGGCTATCCCAATACGTCTACGGATCTCAGTGTTGCATTTACAGTCTTCTTTCAGAACACTTCCCAGATATTTAAACTTCCGAGTCTGCTTGATTCTAGTGTTCCCAACCTGCAAATCACATTTCGGGCTCATCGTTTTACTGATGACCATGCATTATAATTGATATATTGTCCATAGTCAGGATCATCTAATCAATGCAAATGTTTCCTTCCTTAATTTTATAGTATGTGCTTTGCCAGGGCAGCATATAGTTGTGTATTCACAGACTTCCTTCTCCTTGACTGATTGCCAACCAAGGCCATAGAACCCATTCTGTCCTACTAGTTACTCATAGCTGGGGTGACAAGAGTTGGAGTCATATCTTGCCCAAGAGTGTTAGCATGTAAGTGAATGTAATGAACTTGACTGGAATTCAAACTTGGCTCTCTGATTCCTCAACCTGAGCTGCAATCCATTACTCTACTGTGTATACCTCAATATGGTGTAATGATTAGCAAGCTTATCTCACTAGAACAATTATGACTGAGGAGTGAGTTTGATCCTCATTGGGTACTCCATACTTCCAGCCTTGTGCCATATCTAAGCTACTCTTAGAAAATCAACTTAAAATTAATATGTATGTACTTTTAATTCTAATCGATGAATAACCCTAAGCTTAAATTCTTTAATCATTTCTTTTTAAAAGATTTTTAATGACATTGTTCTTGTTTCTTGTCATGTGAAACAAATGCAAGCAACAAGAAATGAAGCAAAGATATCAGTTATTATCAATAACAAGCATTACTTTTGAAAATAGCAATAATGTGATAATATTTTGTTCAGCTGTTAAAACAAAAAGGACAGGAAAACTTTTACTGCCAAACAAAAGTCTTAACTTGAAAGGCAATCAAAATGAAGTCATTGACTGCACTCATTGCATTGTACACATTCATAATAGTAATAATAATACATCAATGCAGTTAGTTGTAGGTCAACCACAGGCGAGATTACATTGTGAACTCCGTGATCTTCTGGATCCATTCTTAAATTCTATTTCTGTTTTCCCTTCATACATTGTATTACAAGTTATATAAATGTAATTATATATAATTAATTCTATTAATGCTCTATCTCTATTTTTGATATTGAGCACTTTACCCAAAGCCTACTTACATTAAATGCCTCTTTATCAGTTAACCACTGAAAAACCAGCAATTTTGACTTCAAAAACAGTCTTTCAAATTAACACATACTTACATACATGTGTGTGTGTGTGTGTGTTCACAATGCAAGCCTAGGAAGAGGTTTAAAGATAATCTGAAGGATAATCTGAATGCATTGCACATGGATGTGCAGCATTAGGAAGAACTGCCTTTAACTCATACAGAGTGGAGGATGAATGTCTCAGGCATACTGAAATCAAGTATGATCCCCAAAGAAGCACTCACTCTGATTTGCCAACTAATATGTAATCTTGGAAATGTGGTGTGAGTGCATGCTGTTATTGAAGACAGGTTACGTAAACCATCTGAAAAGGTCATTATAACAACCAGAAGGAAGCCAACCTATCGTCTGCCAACAATATCAGTATTATTTGCACAATAAAAGAACAGGAATTAAGAAGACAGAAGATAATGATTAACATTGCATTTAAATTTTTTGAAGTTCAAAGTTGACGGAGAAGCAAGAGGCTAGAAGAGAGTTCCACAAGAAACTGTTAGCATAGAACTTACAGTTGCATCTAGCCATTTCAACTGTAAAATGATCTGGCTATTCCACCAATCTAGTACTGCACTTAAATTCATAAAACCTAGATACCAAAGTGGAAAGTTCATCAGAACAATTACCATGAAAGAATTTATAGAAAAGGTACAGGGAAACTATGTTATGGCAATGAGAAAGGGACTAAAGCTGAGATGCCTGGTCAGGAATAATAATATCACAGATTCTTTGGATTTTATCAAGGATCTCTAAATATATAGCAGGAGCACCAGACCATATGTGGCAGCAATATTCAAAGCAAGGACGAATAATAGACTTATAAATATATAAGATAGATTCTAGCAAGAAAAATTATCTAGCATGACATAGTGAACCAACTTTCTTAGCTGCACACTTAGAAATTGATTGAATATAATCTTTTCACTTCATGTCAGCTGAAAACTTTAGTCCAAGAAAGCACAATGAGTAACTCTCCTGGAGGTTAGCATCAGTCATACTGATGAATGATAAAAAAAGGTTCTCTCAGATGATTAATACAGAGTTCTTTCATTTTTAAGGCATTAAAATTAACAAGCCACTTCTTAACCCATTTAATAACAGAGATTGTAGGTCTTTTTTAAATCAGCTGCCAATTTGACCTCATCAAACTGATCAGACTTACTATTAAGACAGGAGTAAATAGTTGTACTCAGTATAGATACTAAGTTGAGAACTGATAATATCAGGAAGGTCATTTATGAAAATTAGAAATGACATAAATACAAGGATAGAGCCCTGGGGAACACTTGCATTTATGCAAAAAGATGTAGAAGAGTGGCCATTCAAGATAACTCTCATTTCATGATTTGGTTACTTTGCCAAAAAGAGGTAGAAGGCTGGTAGGCTGATAGAAGGATTTGATGGTTCATGTGAGATCTTAAAGACTGGAATTACGGAAGAGGATGTCCAACAAGTAGGAAAACAAGAAGCAGCAAGGCATTTATTATAGAGTTTAGAAAAAACAGGAGACA